ACAGTTTCTTGTCTGAAAACTTTACAACTGGTAGAATGTCAGTCACTGTGTAACACTTTTATTTTCTTAAAGACCGTGACTCTAAAAGGCAAGTTTATGATTTTAACACTTTTTTACTGACAATAGGCAGATTTAGGCTTTTTTCTCTTGCCAAGACATACTTTGAGGTATGCAAAAAGTTAAAACTAGAAAAATCAAACACTTTGTCTAAATAGCTGTTATTTAATAATGTGACTCTTAACCCTCCGGTATCACTGTGGACGTTTTTGTCCATATGGGTCATTTTTCACTTTTCATTTTGCAATAACTTTGGTTGTGTTGGTGCAAATGGCCTGATTTTTTGTAACACGGCTATTTTCTCAATCTCTTTTTGAATTCCAATTTCAATTTTTCAAATCGGTCTTTAATTCACTGTGTAACAAATCGACTACGAAAATTAGTCATTCGAGACAAAAATGTCCACTGCAAAAGACTTTGATAAAAATATTATATTAAAAGCTTTTGTTCACAACTTTTTTGGGTTCATTCTTTAAAGCAACTTCCGCCCTAATAGAAAACACCAAAAATGTAATCATTTTCAGGATTTTAATCCTTTAAATGCCATTTTGAAAACATGAAACCGCTGTTTTTTTTCATGATGAAAACAGAGAACATGTGTTATTTTCCAAAAAATACATATCTGGGGACTGGCTCTTTTTTTTATAACAGTCTTGGATATGTCAAAGATTAGCAACAAAATGGATTTTTTTTGCATTATTACTTTTTGCACAAAATCAGATTGAACAAAAAAGTTACAAATTAGTCATTTGGGACAAAAATGTCCACTTCCAAAGACTGCTCTAAAATGACAACAGATTAATATTTTAAAAACTTTTTGGGGTTAAATCTTTCAATCAACTTCAGTCCTGATCAAAAATACCAAATGTTAACGTATGTTCAGGATTTTAACCCTTTAACTGCCAGTTTGAAAACATGAATTTGCGTTTTCTATGAAAAACATGCACAAAAAGGCAGTTATTTTCCATATAATAAATGTTGGGGGGATCGGCTTTTTTTTTTAACACAGTCTTGGATATGTCAAAGATTAGCAACAACATTGATTTTGGTTGATATTAGTTTTTGCACAGAATCAGATTAAACAAAAAACTCACATTAGCCACTGACAAAAATGTCTCATCCACTCCCATTATAACCACATCTTTTGATCTCTCCGCCATACCGGTATAACATCAGGCATTTTGTAATGTCAGGGTTTTATATTGGAGGAAAATAGTTCAATTTGTCCTTTTTACTGTATATCACCAGATGTGACATTTTACCATTGAATTACATGCTTGTCATTTCTTGGTTTCTTTGCCTGTTGTATAATGGGGCCCTGCCAGCCATTGGAATACATGTATGCAACTAATATGATGTAGGTGTGTTGGTATGGATGTGGAAGAGTGGTATCAGCTGAGAGATGTGTGTGTGTGTGTGTGTTGTGTGTGTGTGTGTGTGTGTGTGTGTGTGTGTGTGTGTGTGTGTGTGTGTGTGTGTGTGTGTGTGTATGTGTGTGTGTGTGTGTGTGTGTGTGTGTGTGTATGGATGTACAGTGTGTGTGTACAGAGACAACAATATACAGTAGATTTGGTTTACAGCAAGTCGCAGTTTTCGCCTCATATCTTTCTCTCTCTCTCTCTTTTTCTCTCACTCCCTCATTCCCAAACTCATACACACTCTTACCTCTTAAAAATTCTTATACATTATGTGTGTGAGTGATTGTGTGTGAGAATGAGACAGGAGTAAGTGTGCTCTCATGAAGTTTTGTTTTTCATTTGTGCTGTTTCATGTGTCTTTGAGGTAAACAGATGTATGATCTTGACCCAGCTTGACCTCGATGTTTTGAATTGTTTGAACTTCAAAGTCCTTTGATAATGTCAAACAGACATACACAGTGATACATACATTCCTTGAAGTAAATAAAAACATCTGGGTGCAAAGCCAAAGCTTCAAATATGTGTAGTTTGGCTGGATGGTCATTTCATTCCTGTGATACGCAACAACCAGTAAGATGAAGAGGAGCTTCTCTGTGGGACAAGAGGTCTCATGCAGCCCGTAACTTCAGCTGCAGGACTCATCCTCTGAAACAGAAACACCCTGAGAAGGAGAATCTGGTGTGGATCTGAACTGTGCTTGAAAGGAGTCAGCACAAGGATAAAACACTTTTTTGCCAAACATGAGAAGGAGAATCTGATGTGGAGTTTGTAGTGGAGTCTGATCCTTCTTCGTCTGACCCTTCCCCTGAAAGTGGAGAGGACACAGAGGATCCCATCTCGTAGCTGCGCTACATTCCTCTGCACTATCCTATCCGGAGGATCGTGTCCATCGTGGCAGTGTGTGGACATCAAAACATTTTCAAATCTGGTTTCCCTCTCACGAGGAAATGCCGCGCTATATTCCTGCTGCCAGAGGTTTGGTTTCAGGGCCCACGCGTTATGCCATTACGAGTGGCATAAATAAGAATTCATGACGTGGAATCCTTCTTTGATTTATTCTTTACCCCTGAGATCATCAGCAGTATTGTCGACATGACACACCTGCATGGGGGTCGTTCAGTGGCAAACTGGAGGGATGTTGATGCCACAGATGTTTGAGCAAACATTGGATAGGATAGTGCAGAGGAATGTAGCGCAGCTACGGGATGGGATCCTCTGTGTCCTCTCCACTTTCAGGGGAAGGGTCGGACGAAGAACGATCAGACTCCACCGCAAACATCTGATTATTTCTCTAAGCATGGCTTCACGTGGCAGCGCAACGAATATTCTTGTTACTCCTGTGGCAATCTCTGGTGCTATCATCCCCTTTGTGGTGTGATTGAGGAGGAGATCACTAAGCACTTTAGTGAACATCAGGCTTTTTCCATCTAAATGGTTTTGTAGTCTTTCATACATCTCAACCTCATCACCATCTTGTTGTTCCTCAGCAGTTCCTCAGCAGCTCCTCTGCAGCTCCTCAACCTCCTCAGCAAAGGACCTCATTGATTCCTCTGTATCAACGTGGGATTCGGGGCAGAATTGTTCCTTCTTCTCTGGCCCCATCTGATAAATGAACTGTTTGGCAAACTGTTTGGCAAAAAAGTGTTTTATCCTTGTGCTGACTCCTTTCAAGCACAGTTCAGGCAGATCCACACCAGACTCTCCTTCTCAGGGTGTTTCTGTTTCAGAGGATGAGTCCTGCAGCTGAAGTTACGGGCTGCATGAGACCTCTTGTCCCACAGAGAAGCTCCTCTTCATCTTACTGCTTGTTGCGTATCACAGGAATTAAATGACCAGCCAGCCAAACTACACATATTTGAAGCTTTGGCTTTGTAGCCAGGTGTTTTTATTTACTTCAAGGAGTATATGTATCGCTGTCTATGTCTGTTTGCTAAAGAGACATTATCAAAGGACTTTGAAGTTCCAAACAATTCAAAACATCGAGGTCAAGCTGGGTCAAGATCATACATCCGTTTACCTCAAAGACACATGAAACAGCACAAATGAAAAACAAAATGCCATGAGAGCACACTTACTCCTGTCTCATTCTCACACACAATCACTCACACACATACAAGGTATAAGGAGGTTTAATATGTAAGAGTGTGTATGAGTTTGGGAATGAGGGAGTGAGAGAAAGAGAGAGAGAGAGAGAAAGAAAGAAAGATATGAGGCGAAAACTGCGACTTGCTGTAAACCAAATCTACTGTATATTGTTGTCTGTGCACACACTGTACACACACACACACACACACACATTTCTCAGCTGATACCACTCTTCCACATCCATACCAACACACCTACATCATATTAGTTGCATACATGTATTCCAATGGCTGGCAGGGCCCCATTATACAACAGGCAAATAAACCAAGAAATGACAAGCATGTAATTCAATGGTAAAATGTCACATCTGGTGATATAGAGTAAAAAGGACAAATTGAACTATTTTCCTCCAATATAAAACCCTGACATTACAAAATGCATGATTTTATACCGGTATGGCGGAGAGATCAAAAGATGTGGTTATAATGGGAGTGGACGGGACATTTTTGTCCGCGAGTGGCTAATGTGTGACTTTTGTTTAATCTGATTCTGTGCAAAAACTAATTATCCACCAAAATCAATGTTGTTGCTAATCTTTGACATATCCAAGACTGTGGTAAGAAAAAAAGCCGACCCCCAACATTAATTATATGGAAAATAACTGCCTTTTTGTGCATGTTTTTCATAGAAAACGCAAATTCGTGGTTTCAAACTGGCAGTTAAAGGGTTAAAATCCTGAACATAAGTTAACATTTGGTATTTTTGATCAGGACTGAAGTTGATTGAAAGATTTAACCCCAATAAGTTTTAAAAAATAGTAATCTGTTGTCATTTTAGAGCAGTTTTTGGAAGTGGACATTTTTGTCCCGAATGACTAATTTGTAACTTTTTTGTTCAATCTGATTTTGTGCAAAAACTAATAATGCAAAAAAATCCATTTTGTTGCTAATCTTTGACATATCCAAGACTGTTATAAAAAAAAGAGCCAGTCCCCAGATATGTATTTTTTGGAAAATAACACATTTTCTCTGTTTTCATCATGAAAAAAACCAGCGGTTTCATGTATTCAAAATGGCATTTAAAGGGTTAAAATCCTGAAGATGATTACATTTTTGGTATTTTCTATTAGGGCGGAAGTTGCTTTAAAGATTGAACCCAAAAAGTTGTGAAAAAAAACTTTTAATATAATGTTTTTATCAAAGTCTTTTGCAGTGGACATTTGTCTCGAATGACTAATTTAAGTAGTCCAATCGAATGATACCGGAGGGATACCAGCTTTTTGATTTAAAGGTGACCTATTGTTACGTTCCCTCCTAACTAGGGGTACAAAGGGAAGTAACAAAACACCAAAATAACCGGGTGAGAGAAAAAGGAGAGGAAACTGTCGACTGAAGCCACAAAGTGATGTTTTAATGGACAAAAGAAAAGGGCTCACCAGCCAACTTGCAAAGCAAACTAAAATAAACAATACACGAAAAGGTAAACTGGAGCACATCTAACAATTCACAAGAACACAGGCCTCACACAGAGACATGATGCACACATGCAGCCAGAAGAGAAGGAGAGAGCGACTGCAGCCTTCCTCAGGTCCTTTATGGAGGCCCTGATTGAGGATTGGAGCACCTGGGGAGAGGCTGCACCTGGGGAATCAGAGAGAGAAAAAGACACACACCCACACAAACACTACTGCACATAACACCCCCCCCCATAAAACCAAACAAGTGTTTGGCCACAGTTACCAAAACACACATTACATAGTTACTTTTGAATGCTTGGAAGCTGCCACCTGCTCCTTCCAAGCCACACACTCCGCCACTAAATGACCTGGGTCAAGACAAGAGAAACACAATCTCTTAGTGTCGGGACCTGGGAGAGAAACAGAATGAGCATGTGTGACACGTCTGTTACGAGCCCTACAGTGAGGATAATTACTCGGTGGATACACTTTACCTCCGGCTATATCATTACCCATTATGACATCCACACCGTCGACAGGAAATTTGGGGAGCACAGCAACTGGAAAGAAACCAGTAGCCAGTTCAGACTGGACATGGACATTGTGAAGATGTGCGGGCACAAAACCCATTTCAATACCTCTCACCACCATATTCGCATCACAGGCAGACTCAGCACTCAGGGGCAGGGCACCGGCAAGGATGAATGACTGTGAGCCACCACTGTCTCGCAACACCGTGACCTGCCGCTGGTCCTCCACCCTTCCTGACAGAGAGACAAAGGCAGTAGAGATGAACGGTTTCAAACACTCATCAGGCCCTTTGCTAACAGTGGCCCGTCCACTAGGACACACTGCTGTAACCAAACCCACCCCTTCTGGGTGCTTGCCGTCCGCTGTCTGCTTTCTCTTCCAAGCTGCACAGTCTGCTATCACATGACCTGGGTCAAGACAAAAAAAACAAGCTCTGTCTAGCCTGGGATTCAACACTCGAACACTGGCACAGGGAACGTAATTGTCAGGATCTCTACGATAAGTGTCCTGCTGAGGAGGATCACGCTGAAAAAAAACGCTCTTGTGTATCAGTGCAAATTCGTCTGCCAGAGAGGCAGCCTGCTGAAGGGTAGTTAATTTCTGCTCGTTCAGATAGACTACCGTACGCTCCGGTACACAGTTTTTAAACTCCTCCAACATCACCAGCTCACACACTGAGGCAATGTCGTCAGCATTACAAGCTCTACACCACCTGTCAAAGAGGACTTTCTTCTCCCTCGCAAAGTCCACATACGTCTGGCCAGGAGTTTTCTCCAGGCCGCGAAAACGCTGCCTGTAGGCCTCAGGCACCAGCTCATATGCCCTGAGAACAGAACCTTTAACATTCTCATACACCAAACTGTCCTAGACAGAAAGAGAAGAGCAAGCCTCCTGAGCCTTGCCGACTAGCTTGCACTGTACAAGTATGGCCCACACATCTTCTGGCCAGCGCAGAGCAGCAGCAATGCGCTCAAATACACCAAAATAGGTTTCCACTTCTGATCCACGAAACACAGGGACCAAAGAAATATGTCTAGTCACGTCGAAGGAGGCAGCAGGACCAGAGTGTGTAACAGCAGAATCACCCACCACAGCTGCTTGGAGCTCTAGCTAACGCATCCGGACAGCAGTGTCTGCCTCCAACTTCATGATCTCCAGCTCCCTCCTGAGCTGAAAATCCCCATCACGCTCCTCCTTCTCCCACTGGAGACGGACCACACGTACTTTCATTCTGGCATCTAACCTAGAGCCTGTAAAAGAGGACTGGGCAGAAAGCGGGTCAAAGTGAGGCATGGTAAAGGGCTTTTCCTGTGCACTAGCACTCCGAATACCAGGAGCATCAACGTGGCCTTCACTAGGAGGTACTGCTGCAACAGCCCCGGCCACCGTGCCAGGAGATTCCACTGAATCAGGCAGACTCAAAACCCCCTGCTCAACTAGCCCATATACCAAAGTAGCCTTGAGATCACTTTTAGAGAGAGAAGTGGAGACAAAAACATTATAGTGGTCAGCAATTAACCGCAAATCAACCTTCCTACAGCCGTCTAGCTGATAGTAGGATTGGCCACAAACTGCTCCAAAACAAAAACCATTCTGAATCACAGCTAATTAGAAGATTTAAAAAATAAATAAAAATCCTACCACTAATGCCTCACAAACATTGACGTCAGTCTTCCAAATAACGAACTTCCCCAGATCCTGCCTACCACGACTTACCTAACTATCTTCTGGAGCGTGCCGGGCTCGAGGCGACTTTAAAAAGGCAAACATCAGCAGCCGAAACCCTGAAACGCTTGCCCCCAACAGGGAACAAATCCCCACCCAGGATTACCCCGAAAATATAAAAAAGGCCAAATAATAAATGAGTGCCTGAAGGAAGGACTGATTCAACCCAGCTAGACACTCCCCTATCTAAACTGAGGAAGCTGTTCAACAGTAAGAGACTTCACAGCCAATGCTACACTTACTGCTCACCACCAAACACAATATCAACACTGTACAACAAACAATCAAGTACTCACTCTTTGTCTCAAAGACCGGACGAGCCCCCATTTTTTACGTTCCCTCCTAACTAGGGGTACAAAGGGAAGTAACAAAACACCAAAATAACCGGGCGAGAGAAAAAGGAGGAAACTGTGTACTGAAGCCACAAAGTGATGTTTTAATGGACAAAAGAAAAAGGGCTCACCAGCCAACTTGCAAAGCAAACTAAAATAAACAACACACGAAAAGGTAAACTGGAGCACATCTAACAATTCACAAGAACACAGGCCTCACACAGAGACATGATGCACACATGCAGCCAGAGGAGAAGGAGAGAGCGACTGTTCTTCTTCTTTAGTGTTTATTGGCGGTTGGCAAACCAACTTTTAGGTGCATTACCGCCACCAACTGGACTGGAGTGTGGACAAGAGACTATGCAGAAAACAATAAACAAAAGAAACAAAACAAAGAACCAAAACTCTAGATTATTTTAAATTTATCAATTTCTCTTAGAAACGTAATAATCTCTCAATATATATTGCCTGATTTTTTCCCTAACAGCCCTGATAGCGACAAGTCATGGAATGTTGCTTTCTTGAGTGTCTGGAAAAGCAGAGTACTATATTTCCTGCAAAGCAGTAAAACATGCTCAACAGTTTCTGGCTGGCTGCAGTGTATACACTTTCCGGTTGGATGCTTTCCTATTATACTTAATGTATGATTGAGACCTGTATGACCTATTCTCATCCGAGAAATTACATTTTCCTCCCTTCTTTTAAACCCTACCTTCCTTCCATCCCCCACATACCTTTGAATTTTATAAAGATGTCTTCCTGTATCACTAAGTAAGATCCCAATGTTCTTGCCATGTTGTTTGTGCATATTTCTGTATGAATGTTTTAACCTCTGCTTTGCTGAGTGGAACTTCTATGTGTATGTTCATAATTCTGAGTGTTTGTTTGGCCAGAATATCCACCTGTTCATTACCCTCCACACCAACATGAGCAGGAACCCAGATGAAATGAGTTGCTATGCCTTTGTTTTGCATTTTATATAAAATCAGAAATATTTCATTTATTATGTCCGTTCTAAATGAAGATCTGCCTGATCATATACTTGATAATGCTGAAAAGCTGTCAGATGCAATTATACTATTATGTATTTATTTCTCCTCTATCCATTTCAATGGCAACACCAATGCCAACAACTCTGTGGTGTATACTGACACATGGTCTGTTACCCTTTTCTTTATATGTGTATTACTCACTGGGATATAAACTGCTGCCCCTGCCCTCCCCTGCCCTCCCCTGCCCCTATCTCTGGATCTTTGGAGCCATCTGTAAATATGGTTGTTGAGTCTGAGTGATATCTTTCAAAAATAATTCTGGACTATGCGCCATACTGGTAGTTCTGTCTTTTCCTTGGCATTGGGAATAACCAGGGTGGAATGGATGAGATTGGAACTGTGGGGCAATACTGTATTTGATTCAAACCTAAACTTGCTGCTTTAACATCGCCAATCCATCCAAAACTTGTTAAATGTGACTCATTGTGCTCCCAGCAATCTTGCAAGATACTTTTTGCAGGATGACTATCACTACGCCCCTGAAGGTTTACCCAGTATGCCAACATTAACTTCACTCTTCTTATCCTTAAAGGCATTTCTCCCATTTCCACCTGTATTGTTGATACTGGAGATGTTTTAAAAGCTCCACTACATATTCTCAGGGCCTGAGCTTGTAGGACATCCAGCTTTTTAAGGTTTGATTCTGCTGCTGCCATGAACGCTACACACCCATAATCAAATACAGGTCTCATGAGTGCCCAATATATATTCAGAAGTGATGACCTACTCGCTCCCCACTCCTGTCCCGCCAAACAACAAAGTACATTGTTGACCTTTTCCTATACGATTGCTCCATGTTAACTTTCCGTCAAACCAAACACCAAGAAATCTTATTGTATTAACCTGTTCAAGAGGTTGCTCATACAATTTTAACGATATAGGAGCAATGTTATGCCGTTTTGTAAAACAAATGACCTGCATCTTAGCTACTGACGGTTTGAATATCCATTTATTTGTCCATTTCTCCACTTCAATTATTGCAGCTTGTATTCCCTTTCCAACATGTGCTACATTGCGGCCTTTTGCCCACAAAGCCCCATCATCTGCATACAAAGATTTTCCCATACTTGGATGAACTTGATTAAAGATGTCATGTATCATTATATTGAACAGCAACGGACTACATACCTTGCGGAGTACCATTTTCCACAGCATAAACACTTGAATATTCTGCACCTACTCTTACTTGTATTTTTCTGTCCAGTAAAAAATTCATAACCCAATTATATGCTTTACCACCAATTCCCAATGATTTTAACTTGATTAGTAGTCCTTCCTTCCAGAGCATGTCATAAGCCTTTTCAATATCAAAGAAGACTGCAATCACTACTTCCTTATTGGTCTGTGCTTTCCTGATGTCTGATTCTAAGCACAATATAGAATCCATTGTATTCCGACCCCTACGGAACCCACTTTAATATGGGGACAACAGAGCTTTACTTTCTAAGATATATGTTAACCTTTCTGTAACCATTCTCTCCATGATTTTGCATAAATGAGATGTCAGGGCAATAGGCCTGTAGCTAGATGGATCTGAAGGGTCTTTCCCTGGCTTTAGGATGGGCACTATTATCTCTTGTTTCCACTCTGAAGGAAGTTGGCCAGAATCCCACACCCTATTAAACAACCTTAACACAATGACTAGAGTGTTATCTGTCATGTGTTCCAACATTTTGTAACAAACACCATCTTTCCCAGGAGTGGTTTGACGAGCACTAATAATTGCTCTTCTCAACTCAAACATACTAAAATGCAGGTCCAACTGATCCCCTAACACTTCTACTCTATCCAATATGCTAGGGTTTTCCATTAGTGTATTATGTCTGCACTGCCTGGCTTCTTCTGTAAGGTTCTGAACTATGAACTTTCCTAAATGTTTGAGCTAGAAGTTCCGCCTTTCCTAAGTTTGTGTCCCCTCTGCTCAAAACTGGCAACTCATAATTCCTTCGAATTCCCCCCATTCTCCTAATCATGCCCCAAACATCTGCAAGCTGTACTTCTCTTCCAATACTATTGCAATATTGCCTCCAAAAAGTGCGTTTTTGCATTCTTATTGTTCTCCTCACTATAGCCTGGGCCCTTTTATACTGATTCAAAGCTTCCTGAGAATGGAGTTTTTTGAGTTGCCTGAATGCTTTATTTCTGTCTTTAATGGATTTGCTACATTCACCATTCCACCATGGTACACTCTTGGTGCGCCTAACTCCTGCAATTTCCGGAATTGTTTCTTTAGCTGAATGAATGATAACCTTAACCAGCTCATCATTGCATTTATTTATATCATCATAATTTTCCTCTGGAAGTGTTTTACATCTATTCATACTTACAAGGCATCCCAATTAGCCTTTCCCAATTTCCATCTAGGAATTTTCTTTACCTTTTCAAACCTTATGTTGGTCCCAACTTTAATCATTACCGGATAATGATCGCTGCCCACTGTAGTATGCTTTACCACATTCCATGTACTTATACCTGCTATTGCTCTAGATACAAATGTCAGATCGACTACTGTTTCTATATTCTTCGTGCAATTATATCGTGTTCCTTCTCCAGTGTTAATGCACACTAGCCCGTGGTCATCTATAAATTCCTCAACTACTGCACCATTTGCATCTGTGCTACTGCATCCCCATAGCGAGTTATGAGAATTAAAATCCCCACACCATATTACTTTGTCTTGCAGTGAACCCCCAGCATCCTCTAATATACTTTGATCTAATTTCCCACATGGATTATAATAATTTACTATATCTATAGGTCCTCTATCATTGCATACCCTTATAACTATTGCTTCATGATCTGTACTTACATGCATAACTTTATAACTTATACCACTCTGTATGAATGTTGCAACTCCTCCCCCTCTGCCAGAGTCCCTATCTCTTCTAACTGCAGTATATCCCTTCACAATAAAATCCAGTTGTGGTTTCAGCCATGTTTCCTGAATACAAAGTACATTAGGTTTCTCTCGCAGGTTGTCAATATATTTTTTGAACTCTTGTCCATTTGCAATTAAACTTCTAGCATTCCACTGCAGTACAATTAACACCATCAGGATGATCCAGTCCATGTCTGAGGTTATTGGACGTCATCATTTAGGATATCTTTCACATGTCCCCAGTGCATCCCTTTCACATCAAGGTACTTTTCAGCTGATTTGACAATTATTTTTGATTCTTTCATTCCGGCTTGTAGTCTGCACTGAACAGTTGATAATCTCTGCCATAAACAGTACACACTCTCTTTTACTTACTATCAGAGTGTCCTCCTTCAACTTAACACAGTTTTGGACTTTTCCTGTTTCTTTGCTCTTATTGTTGTTTCCCCATTTTAACCTGCGTTCCTCCTGAAACTGTCTTTGCTGCCTCTGCATAGCTAACTCCCTGCGTCACCCTGACTCGCTGCACCTCTTCTGCTTTCTTGCTAACCTCACATCCCCGGTACGCTGAGCTATGCTCCCCTCCGCAATTGCAACATTTCAGCTTTGCCCCTTCTTCACATTTTCCGTATTCATGATCTCCACCACATCTGCCACACCTTTGTTTTCCCTTGCACACTGCCGCCACATGTCCAAATCTCTGACATTTAAAACATCTTAGTGGTGGTGGAACATACGGTCTCACATCATAACACATATATCCAATAAGTCTTTTAATTTTCTTAAAGACTGTGACTCTAAAAGGCAAGTTTGTGATTTTAACACTTATTTACTGACACTAGGCAGATTTTGGCTTTTTTCGCTCGCCAAGATACTTTTGTGATACACTTTTATGTACGACCATTTTACAACTGGTAGAATGTCAATTACTTTGTAACAAATGTATTTTCTTAAAGACTGTGACTCTAAAAAGGTACTCACTTTGATCTATGCAACACTTTACAACTGGTAGAATGTCATTTACTTTGTAGGGAATTTGGTTTCTTTAATGGCAGTTTATTTTTATTTTAACACTTGTTCAGTTAAATAATGTAGGTTTCTTTTTCTGATAACCTTACATATTTTAGTTATTTTCTGTTACCAAGATACTTTTGTGATACACACATAGAATGTCATTTACTTTGTAACAAATGTATTTTCTTAAAGACTGTGACTCTAAAAAGGCACGTTTGTGTTTTTAACACTTTTGTACTGGCACTAGGCAGATTTTGTTTTTTCTCTCGTTGTTTTTCTCTTACTTGTGGATACAGTTTTACGTTGGTCAAC